TAGCTTAAAATCTCAGGGGCAAGGAGTTTGTGAAAATAGCTGGAATAAAGGTCAAAGCGTATTCAGTTGCTCGAACAGATTCGGATTGTGGATTTCATTTAAGGATTGTTGGATTATCACTCTCCAATAAGTCATTGCTTTCGTTACGTTGATTTCGAGGTCATTCCAATAGGCTATCCCAAACTTGTAGACGAGTTCCATTCCGTCACTCAATACGGGTGAGGTTTTTCTGATAAGCTAGTGTGTGGTAGCATTTCCTACTTGTCTTTGGGAAGATACGTCTCTGGAGAACATTTATGGTCTGATAAACCATTTTATTCGTATTCATGACGACCACTGCCTTCAGCGATGTACTTCATCGTTTTTGGCTGATTTTACTGATAAGTAACGAAGTCGGTTTGTTCAGCTGATTTCAAAGTGCACCAGAGTTCTCCAGAGTAAATTATTTTGGTAATTAAAGGTGCCTCATATCCCCTGGATGAGACTTTTCTTGTGGATAGGCACTGGGGTTAATGCTAGCTAGTCATAACCAAATACCTCGCGAAATCGTCAGGGTGACCGTGACCCCTTTATGAGAGCCATCAAAAAGCATATCCCATCTGAGATCTGTTAATTGGATGCTCAGATTTGTAGGTTATGTACATACGTATCTGTGGAGGGAGAGGTAAGTCCGAGTGTGTAAAGTGGTGGGTATCCAGAATTGAAGTTTTTATGGAACAATCTTAGATGAATTTAGAGCCTTGACCCAGGGCATTCTCCCATCTATGCGGCAAAACCAAGTCACTATCGTCGACGTGTCATCCTTATGATCACATCGTGAGAAACGAAAATGGGGGCAAAACTTGTTAACGGAGCGATATTCCCAAGTGTTCACTGCTGAAAGATTCTCGTGGTGCAGTGGGAAGAATTTAGTCTATTGGAGATAATATTAAATGAACGTAATCTAGATGAGGTGGTAGGGGTGGGCGGCGGGGAGAGTTTCTGGTCGTTCCTGAACTGCTCTTTTAACTGATTGTGAGAAAAACATTGCCATGATGGTGCAAAAAAGGACAACGACCAAAAAGTAATACCGCGTGGCGATCAAGCGATGATAATCTTTTTCTGGAAATAGGAGCAATCCGATTACTTCCCAACTACCAAATCAGGCGAATTGATCGATTCCTCGAATGTGAGGGATTGGTCTTGGTTCCTCTGTCGACCTCTAATGATAACTGATGAGATTTGATAGGAGCAGGTCATGGATTTCTGGAGACGTTAGGCGATGACGTATGGGATCTTCTCCTGAATGGATCGCTTAGAGTGGAGTGGGAGAATATGGGTTTAATCAGTTACACTTTTCATTACGATCTCTCCTTTTAAGGATTACTTGCTAGTCTAATCAATGTAAAAGTTTCTGAAGAGATCCTCATAGGGAAAGTTGGACACCGGCAATCTGCCTTAAAATGAGTTCATCGTAATTCTTAACTGGAAAGGAATTGTCCGGTGGCTGTGGAAGTGTTTGAGAAGCCTGTCATTGTTAGAGAGAGGTTTCCAATCTGCTGGTAAAAATTTTGGTAAATAGCTTTCTTTAAGGAAGCGTTTGTAGTTCTTCTCCTTGTTGGGCTCTGACCGTGACCTGTTCCTTGTTGGGATCCAAAAGTGATATCATGTAGTCAATATGCACGGTGTCACTCCCCAGAACTGAAAATGTGCAGAGAGAAGAAGTTCTTTGTGGTCATTCGAAGGAGAGAGCGTGCAGCGACTACGTAGAAGTCACTGCACGGATCGTGAGAGGGTATGGTGCTTCGTGAGACTGTAGATGGTAGAGTGACGAGAACGATGTAGCGTTGCAGAGGTGACATACGGGAGTCAGTGACGGCTAGTCAGAGCCGTTTACCGGCAATGCCGACCCACACAGTCGTTGTTCGTCGTGCTATTGTCGGACCCGTTCGTCCCGTCGTCTTATCTTCTCTCAGTCTAGTCATCTAGTCATTGCTAAATATGGCTCAACCAAAATTCAAGAAGCAATCCTCGCAAAAGCGTACCTATGAACCAGCTACGGATTTCCCTGGGAAAGGTAGGGCTTACTGAAATTATCCTTTTCTACTAGCACCCACGTATTTACTTAACCTGTGCAATGTTAGGGTCAAATGAGTCGGGCACAGTGACGTTTACTTTGAAGATCAGTCAGGATTACCTTAAATGGCTAGCCATCCTAACCGTCTTGAAAGAGTCTTAACTCACCTTTGTCGTTTTAAATACTGCGGATGTTGGAGCAGTTATGTCCTATATTACATAGCTTTTGGGTGCTGTGAGGCATTATGGACTGCGGTCGATGGAAATGATATGTCAATACTTTCTGTTCCTCTGATTGTCAATTTTGATAGTTTAATGTATACTAATATGGGAACTGAACGATGAATTCAATTGTTTTAATTGTTTCGCTCTGGCCAATTGATTATTGGATCCCAAATGTACAGAACTATGTGAAAGTATCTGTCGGAAACTTTGCAACAGTTCAGATTTTTCCGAGATTTTCTGCAAGCTTCCAATGGTTTTTATTAAAAAAACACTACCCAAGAAAGATCTCGTTTTCCCTTATCTAACTATATAATAACTACCGTCTACAGATATCCAACACATGTTTCTTTACGAGTTCCAATCCGACAACTCGGTGCTAAAATCTTTTGGAATCCCGGGCTTGAGTCTAAAAATTGGCCTCGAAGCTCCTTCTAAACGGTTCTGCACATCCTTGGTTCCAATTCTTCATAACGTGAATCGAAAAATCGTTAGTGAACCTCAATCTGGTCAACCGATATAGTATTCTTTGGATGGAAGCTCCCAGGGAATTCTGCGAGAGCTGGACCACTGTGAATTTTTGGCAGATACTTTCACGCGGTATGGTAGTAAGGGCGTAAATTATTTCTCGCCTTCAAACACTTCAAAAATTTGAGGGTTTGCAAAGAGGAAATGATTACTGTCCTTTGTTGAAGCTGAATGCCCTTATTGGAAAGAAGTCGGTTCGTATTAGATCATGAAGCTGACCTGGCAGTCAATTCCTTAAATCAACGGCTGTCATGTTCAGCTATAGACTTACCTGACGGACTCGGACCCAACTCTAAGGCTATTGCTATGTTATCACAGTGTGCAGTCGCCTACGAAAGGGAACTAGGTATTGGGTTTTTCTCATGGCCTATCATTTTTTGGCGATCATCTCATTGCAAAGCTATTTGCCCGTCGTTGCAAAGGTCATAATCTGATCGCTCCGAAGGTTACGTCCTTGCTAGACGATTGTAAGATTTGGCCGATTTGGATCGTCAACTGCTGACCGCAGCTGATATCATCATATTCGATCCTAGCGAAAAATTGCCTACTCACTTTTGCTAATGGGAATTTGTTCCCACACAGGGGCAATGGATTGAGTTTTACTTTTGTTTGGGAAATGATCGACTTTTTTAAATATTCAACAAAATGACCGTAACTTTCGAGAAAGTAAGTGTGCAGCGGTAATTGCCTTTCGCCTCCCCAGACTGTCAAAAGGGATATGCGAAGGGGTTATGGAGCGTGGCTTATCAAGTTTCAGTCACAAAAAAAAACATTGAGGGAAACCCACTAAAGGGTTGCTTCTAATGTTTGTTGCATTTCTCGTGGTTTCCAGAGTTTTTTCCTAACGACGATCAGGGTGAAAGGGGTCCCCGTCATTCAAGCCAAATGATAACGCGGCCCATGTCATTTTTGGCTGCTTCTTATTGACCGTTAATATAATATTGATAGGTGGAAGGCAACCAAAAGAAGCCATCTTCAACAATCCGAATCATCAGTGATTAATTGATTAGCCAGCAGTGTCAATTCAAAAGTGAAAGAAGAGCCATGTACTCGTCCTTCTTTGGGAACTTACAGCAGTTCACTAGAATCCGCTTTTAAATTTAGTGCTCTCACCGCCTTACTTATCTCTCGCGATACGTAGTCGAACATGGATTTTAGGGAATTTGATGAGAGACTATGACCTCTGGCAAGGAGCAGAACGGCTCAGTTGACTGTTCATTTAGTTGAAAAAACCTGTCTTTCGCTCAGATTTACTCTCTGTTACGTGAATTCCCAAAAGTGGCGAAACGAGGATATTGTCAAAGACTTCAAGGTCATCTGGGGCTTTTGTAGGAAGGGGCTGTAAGGAAATTGGCGCAGTATGCCCATTCTGGTGAGGGATCCCAACAGCCATCCATCTATTCCGCAGTAGTGTTTGTTTTTTCTATTATGTTGTCCAAAGAAAATGTTTATACAGTAGTGCGTAAAACTGAGTCCTAAATTGTAAATAGTAAATAAGGAAACAGTGAGTCAGATTTCACACTCCTCTTACAACGCTTCCTCCCTTCATTTTTCTATTTCCTATCCGGAAATTACTTGCAATTCCAATTTTACTAGTTGGTTATTGACGTACATATATACGGATGATTTACGATTTGCATTCTAATATGGACAGAATGAATTATTAGCGTTTAAAGTAGATTGGCTACTGAATATATGGGTAAGTCTGGCATTTGCTATCAACGCTATACAGCTTAAACCAGGGATTTCTGCTGNACACTTTACTCTACCAAAGGTAGTTTTCTTGCTGGCTTTCAGCGTTTAACGTTTGATGATGAAAAAAGGGAGAGAGGTGTGGAAGGGAGGGGGCTGAAAATCTCAGTTGAGCAGATGAGTCTCGCAGTGAGTGACGAATGGTTTTAAAGTGAATTAAATACGGCTACTATTGAGGAGAATTCGATTATTTTGGTCATTTTTATCTGTATTTTATTTATATTTATATAAGGCCTTCTGGAAAAAAAAGTTTAGGAAAACAGGCAACATATGGTAAAATCCTGCCTTCTATTTTGGAATTTCAAAGAATTTTTTCATAATTGAGCTTCATTCACGGTTGTCTTGGCTCTACAGATTTCAAGGTTTGAAAAATTTTAATCCTGGATGAATCTCTCTTTCTCGTTTTGGCTCTATGTCATTGTCAGTTAGTCATAACTTGGTAAATGTCTTGCGAAGCGATCCGGGTGACCATGACCCCTATGTTAGGGCCATCAAAAAGCATCTCCTACCCGAGATGTGGTAATGGGATGCTCAGAGAGATTGCGTATGTGGGTATGGAAAGGCAAGTTGGAGTAGAGTCATGTAAAGTAATGGATGAACTCAAGCTTTTTCTGAAGTTATGTTTAGTTCGAGGATTTGTTTACTTCTCACTAATTTCTCAATATCCGTCAGTTTTCAGACAGTTAGGTAATAGGGTGGGTTTCTTTCCATCTCCAATAGCAGCAAGTAATGTAAAATTATTGGTTAAAACCTTTCAAAATGCAAGAATCGATTGAAACTTCTTTTTAAAATCGTCTTGTCTAATTAAACCAAAAAACTTGAGGCATCATCGATTTCAAGGTGACACTAGGCAATAATCATATACGATTCCATCATTGCCATGCTCTTGATTGAATAAACATCGATGAGTCAGATTAAGGGTTAATGGTTACTTTCTGTCCAGAGGACCTGGATTACTGTAAAAGCGATAAAGTTGGTAAAAGCAATGAAGTTGTAGAATAGGGAGGTCGTTGAACGGGTGACCAAGTATCCGATAGTGCGCCCTAAGTGGATTTGAAGTTGAGATAAATATGGTAGAGTGACTTGGTGAGGTGTTACACCTGTTGAGTGAGGAAAACAAAGTCATCATCATTAATTATTAAGTTGATTATTTATTGATTAACTCCATTTTCTTTTCAGTTCTGGAGTTGTTGTATTGGCGTGATCCGAAGAAAAGTGCCGTAGCTCTATCGCTAATCCTTTTGGCAGTTTTCATTCTTGCAAAGTGAGTATTTTGTTCACAGTTTAAATTGTTACGTTTTCGGATCTACTGGCTCAAGAAGGGCGGGTTTTCAAGGATGGTGAAGATTTTTCAATATGGGTTCATCTATCCTCTGGTACAACGGTTGTTTTCGCCCGGCTGGATAATCTTGAGGGCTCCGCATGGACATGGCCATACTGACTGAGAAGCCTATGTTATTTCTTAATTTTTATCTTTTTCTATGGCCATTTGCCAAGCTCCGGTAAAGGATAAGAGAATAAAAGTCACAAGTGTTCATCATATGGGATGCACCTCACATCCAACTTGCATTTAGAATGGTAAAAGGCGCATTTTGAATGTGTATTAGGCCTGAACGATGACTAGACGTTTGTAGCATTGTCGATGCATAGGTCAGTGCGTTTACACTCCCGGAAGACCCCGAAACCAATCAACGGATCACAGTGGGATGGAAAGCATGGTTAGCCTTGTCGGGTATGAACCCGAGATTCGATATACGAGCCATGCGTGTGTGACACATAGTACGCCACTCGCCACTGCACCACTTCCTCAGGCTCTGATACATGCGATGAACATTAATGTCGCTGATAGTGTGATCAGCAGCCGTGACAGGTTGTTGAAAGGGTTGTTCTGGTGGCTGCAATGCCTATATTCTTGATTACTTCCTGACCGGTTCAAAGTTCTGATGAAGGGCAATTTTGAAGTGAATGTGCTAAACTGCATTTACAGCATCATATCAAATTTTAGCCATTTGTGATATTTCCTTCTGATACATTTACTCACATTTGGTCATTTTTGAAGTATTTTCCGTACTCAATCATTTAGATATCCAATTTTGTCCGTGATCGCCTATACTGGTTTGGCCGTACTTGCCGGTACCATTGGATTCCGTGTTTTCAAGACAATCGAGGCTCAAGTAAAGAAAACTAGTGGAGAGAATCCTTTCCAGTGAGTTCTAACCGATCAACTATCTGATAATTAGATGGATTTGTTCTATCAATCGAGCTGGTTCTAGGGAGTACCTCGCCAAGGACTTGCAACTGCCTCAGGAACGAATTCATGCACAAGTGGATGTGCTCGCAGAACATGGCACAGTCCTATTCAACCAACTCAAGAGGCTTGTCTTCGTTGAGAACATCGTCGAGAGTGTTAAGGTGGGTCGGACAGAGTTTACGGTGCCTTGGGGGTTGGGGCTTTGCAAATGATGGTCGTTTACTAACCATACTTTCTAACTTCATTTTTCATTCGTTTTCTTTCTCAGTTGGCCTTCCCCTGCTCCCTCTGTGATCTGGAGTTTTCTCTGTATGGTGTACAATAGGAGAGTTCTTGTCTTTCTCAGGAGATTTCAGCGTATGACCTAATTTCATTAACATCTGGTGATCACATGAACATGAACTTTCTTGGACTGGGTTGCGAAAGCCTTCAAAATGTTTGCTGAGTCATTCTGCTCCGGATAAGATTTGCGTCGATTATGATTTTTTAGAAAAAGGTTTTATTTGAGCATGCTGACGATCAAGGGTGAGAGGGCCATCTGGAAACCTAATGCAAATCGAGTTATGTCTTAACAATCTTTTTTCCTTTCATTTTGAACCCCATATCAGATGAAGCGAAAGACTAAAGATGAACTAAAGTTCTCATTCTCTCAAATTAGACCCCATTATGGTCAAGCAGAATCCATTCCCATTTCGTTTGGAAACCTTATTTGTTCCTTTATTTCCGAGTTCTCCATTTTCCGATAGTTCTCCAAGGAGGAACCAAGTTCAAAGTTGAAGTTCAATGTATATAGCTGCTTTACAATCCAGCTGAAATACATTTCCTTGAAAAATGCTTGCTTGTTTGGAAATCCCGCCGGACTCACCTTCCTTATGATTGATATGATTTTATCATAACGCGCTCTAATTCGGTACAGTGTAAGTTAAGTTTTATGGAAGGCAGTCTTCCGGTTACGTGATACGAATGTGGTTGACTTCATTATATCTCAATGTCGTTTTTCTCTATTGGTATAGGATGCGACTCCATCACACCACAGATGTCGCAGTCCCGAAATTTGGTGGCGCAGTAATCACATGCAATGAAAAGTAGGAGGCACTGTAATATAGAAGACAGGAAGTCGCAATATACTACGATTTCGAGGATTGACTAGGAGCTTCTTGTTCCTTCCGTTCATTCGACCTAAGATACTTCTTTCTAAGAAAATTATGCCGGAGGATGGAGGGGAAGATGCCGGAGATAACTAGCAGGACCACTGAACCCTGACCCGTGGGCTCTACTTTTTTTAGGACTGCTTTTCAGCATAGGATGAGCCTTGGGCCACCGATGCTGAGATTCTGAATTGGCTCTCTTTCTCTTTCTCGCCAATTTCAGTTTGAACGCTTGAGATGGTTGTCCCAGCTACTGGTAACTAAAGCAAAGCAGTTGAAATCGTAAAACGACAGATCGAGCGGTGACGGCGACTAGTCTCAATATTTCACGTGGAAGTGCTGCCGCGAAGATGGTCTTTCTTTCTACTGTACATTGCCATCCATCCGTTGATATGACCGCTGGGATACTTTCTCGTTGATTGATATCAAAAGCCCATTTTGTTCTTGTGCTGAACCATATCATTCTAAACTGAATGGGAGCAGTGGACTTTTTTT